TACGCACTTGTAAAACGGATACGACAAATATCCATGTATAGCGTTTTCTTAATATTAGGAAAACATTATAAACTTAACATTGATTGTTTAAAAAAATAAATCACCAATGCAGTTTATCAGATACAAACTACAGCGTAACATATTTGGAAATTTTGGTTGAAAAACAATATTTCAAGGTGTTTTGTGTATAATGCTGWGATGGTACTCCAAAGAATAGTACGTGTTTTTGATCTATTCGATCAGATAGAAATAATTATTTTCACCGCAAATTATTTATTAATTTATAATTATCATACGCAACATATTATATATGTTAGCAAAGTCACGACTATCAGAATTCAAAAAACGCTTTTACTATTCTTACTGGATATTTAACATCGATTAGTCGGAATTCTGATACTTGCGAATTACACGAATGATTCTGGTGACAATAAGAAAAACTTATGACTAAAAACCGGTATGACTTTAACGAGTGYATATTTCACTCTGTCGCCGTAATAATTGACCCACGAACAGCGTACACATATTATAAGAAAATTAACAYAAAATCATTATGAAATATTACCTCGTCTGGCTTGGGGTACAAATGATTGCAGTGTCTCTGTACGAACATACCGGTGGCCAGTTCGACGGCCAACAACAATACCGCAGCGCAAACGGTTTTCCATTTTACCTTGGCCGGCATATCAGCCACTGGTAGGAAAAATAAAAACCTAAAAAACACTCGTAGAGATCATTTGACGTGTGTGATTATCGTTGTCGTCAAAACGAATTTAATGCGTTCGCTGAGAACGGTACAACACGTCGTCGAAAGATGAGGAATGAGGAAACGATGTCGTGAACAACGGACCGCACGCGAATGACAACTGATAAGAGACTGAACAAAACACGACGAGCGATAGTACGGCACCAGTCACTGGTACGGACGGTAAGAATTCATACCTGCCGAACACGCACGATGGTAAGTGGTAGGGAATGAAGTGCGTGACGGAATCATTTCCCCACTCCGTCATGAAATTTGTACCGGACAACTTTACTAACGTACGCGGGTGAGGGTGACTCACCACGTCGTGCGTCCTGCGCGATCGCAGTGTTATTTTTGTTATTATTGTTGTTGTTGTTGCTGCTGTCGTCAATGTGATAACAGCAATCATAGATTAGTATTGTCTAAAAAATATACTAGTATTTATACTATTTATAGACTTATAGTAATATAAAAATTATATTTTATAATAACATATTTATTTTAAAATTATATTAGTAATAATTTATTGCTTATTTATACCTATCATAGGTAAAAGCTCTCCGTGCTAGTTTTTATAACATAATTAATGGTGTTTTAGTATTTGCGGCAGGTCGGCAGTCTGTAGTGTTGATAACACATTTATCTGCCGTACTACTACAGTGCCTGATGCTTGCCTTCTTGGAGCCTTGTTGAACTTACTTCTAAMTTACAACTGTCCTTCACGTTTTGAGAAGTCACAATTTTTCTGCAGTCTGCACGTATTTTAAGAGTACGATTTATCACTTTTGGAGAAGCTATGGATTTCGATAGCCCGGACGTCGAAAAAGATTTCCCAGGYTTATATGCGTCCACAGAAATCGGACACAAAGACTCWGACGGTAATGGAAACAATTAAAATATCTATCATTTAAGCTTGGTATCTATAACTACCAACAATATTATAATTTTAATGAATATAGGTAAACGCAAAGAAAAAAAAGACCGTGGTTATGCAGCGCTTGAAGGTGAAAGTTCTCCGGAAGAAGAGCCTGATGCAAAGTAAGTATGGTTATAAATGTTATAATACTTATCATTGAGAAAATAAAGCATAGTGGATATAGTGCATTATGATTAATGGTTTTATAATTCAAACAGCTTTGAATATTCTTACTTCTCAATATAAGTTACTTTAGAGTCTTGTCTATAAGTATTTATTTAAATTAATATATATTAAATACATTAAAAAATAAAAATTTAATTTTACAAGTTTTTTACCTTGTAAAAAACCATTATCCTTGGTTCATTCTATAAATTTCAACACATGAAGTATATCAATATTTGTAATTGCGGTGAAGTATAGTTGTAATTAATCTGTTTGTTAACCTCATATCCAAATTAATAAATATTTAAATATATTTTAAGGGATAATTAATTAATTTTCTGAGATCAATTTATATCATGAAAAATGCCACTTTTATTTTATCTGTTAATTGATGACTTATTTGTGGAACTATTTACGTATGACTCCAAAGGAAGATGAGGGCATAGCTCAATGCTCACTCCCCAAGGCTATTTTTTAACACATATTTCTTCTTGTGTACAATAAAATTTCRATTATTTAATTAGATACCTAACACTTTTATTTTGCTTGAAAAAAACATATGATATTAATATGAGGTGTGTATCAAAATATAGGAATGTATCGTGAAACTGTGTAATAATTTAGRGGAAAACCATTTGTCAGCCAATATTCAATTATACAATCATAGTCATGCATAACATTTTAACATGTTTTTATTTCAAATTGTCGGTATATGTATGTTAACTGTTAAATCCTTAGATAAAACAATAATAATTTTTTACAGAAGTCCTTMAAAAATAAAAAAGATAAAACCATTTAAATTTCCTACAAAAAAAGAAAAGCATGAGAAACTTAAAGATAAAGATTCTAAAGACATGCCTAAGGAAAAGAAAAAAGATGGAGAAAAGGACAAAAAGAAAGATAAACCCAAAAGTAAAATAAAAGAAAAAAAGAAACAAAAARGATCTGATGGAAAAGATGCTGTTGACATAGGTTCTTTATACGGTAATTAAAATTAAAATTTATTTTAAAAACTAATAAATATATTTTTTTTAACTATTAACTGTTTTGATATATAGAAGATCAACCTGTTTTTGGAGTTCCATTGGAAATATCATTTGATCGAAATCCTTGCCATGACGATATACACTTACCATTAGTTCTGAGAAATTGTATCGACTATGTACAAATGCATGGTAAGCATTTATAATTTTATTTTTTTACAGAGTTAATATTTATTCTTGTACGTAACTACCTACACTAAATTTTTCTTGAAAAGTCAATTACAAAATTAAAAAGCACATAGGTGTCTAATTTTGTATCCAYGTTGTAATTCTTACATAGGTGTACAAAAACCAATAAAATAAAATATATAGTTTACAAACTTAATCCAACACTATACATTTTCTATCTAAAATGTTAAAAGATCACAAACACTAAAATGTTTATTTTGATTTTCAAACAGTGMTCTAACAGTTCAAGAAATGAAAAAATTTGAGTATTTAACTTTTTTTATTTTAGGTTTGTGTACTGATGGTGTATATAAAGTACCTGGAGTGAAGTCTAAAGTACAAAGTCTTAAAATTCAGTACAATAGACGGCAATCTGTCAATTTAACTGATTATGATTTAGCAGTTGTCACGAGTCTATTGAAACAATATTTAAGGTATTCTGTTTTTAATTATTTTATGTGATGTAAAAATATGATTTTAAAAACAAATTCATAGAGAACTTCCTGATCCTATATTGACATCAAATTTACTATCAAAATTTGAAGATGCTGCTGAAACACAAAATATTGAATTAGCAAAGTTGTTAATTTCAGAACTTCCACTATGCAATAAACATACACTCACATGGTTAATAGTTCATTTTACCAGTATCATAGAAAATGTAAGTTAATGAGTAATATTGACATAATATTAAAATATGATTCTGATTTATTTATTTATTTTAGGAAAAATATACTAAAATGAACACTACAAACTTTGGTTGTGTTCTCTGTCCTGTTCTTCAAATGTCCCAAAAATTATTTTCATTCCTTATTACAAAAAAAAATGACTTGTTTCCTTATGCTGTTTTACACAAATATATACCACCGTTAAGATGTGCAAGTCCTTATTTACCATCTGGTAAAGAAGAAATGACAGTTGAATTAAAAAAACAAGAGTCACTCCTTGGATATATACATCGTGAAATGAATGCTGGTTTTGTGTGTAAGACTAAGGAAGAAGAGTTATGGGATGTACAAAGAATCATTACACAACTAAAAAGAAAACTTAAGGTATTAGAAAAGGACATTCACAAAGTTTCAAAAGAAAAAATCAAAATAGAAGACCAGATAAATGGAAAGTTTGAAGAAGTTGGAACTCAGACAGTACTAAACAGAAAAAACTCAAACAACAGTATATTAGGCAAAGCTGAAGTAGTGTCTATAACAAGTGATACTGTTAACATATCAAACTGTGAGAGTTCATTAGTTGATGAAGAGATACAAACAACAACTTCAGGTAATAAAGAGAATATGCTTTCAAAGCTTCTATTCTTAACTTTTTTTGTCATAATCATGAAAATTAACTTTTAGAAAGCGATAATGAAGAATTAGTCTTACAGTATGAATCTGAAGAATTAATGTCACTCATTGCAAACTTAAAAGATTCTATAGTTCAAGAAAAATGTGAAATTGATCGATTGCATACAAAGTTGGCATCTGTTGGAAAAATTGTCAATGCTAGGTAATTATATTTAATATTACAATTTAATATATTATATCTGGTTATCAATATAGTGCTAGATAACTAAAAAAAAAACCGTTATGTGTGTAGTATTCAATTAAATATTCTGATATATTAAATTAAAGATTTGTTTCAATTTAATAAATGTTTGCTTATATAGAGAATATTTTATGTATCCAATTGACGAAACAAAAGTTGCTAACAATGCATTGTTAAATGAATATAAAATGCTACAAGTAAGGATATATTTTGAACATTATTAAACAATTTACTTATATGCCTTATAATTATAAGTTCCAGAAAATGAACTTATTTAAAAGTATAGAAGAAGAACGAGAAGCCATAATTGACCTAAAAATACAAATAAAACTAGCAAAACGTAAACATATTCCAGCGATGTAAAATACAGTATTTAAATGTCAAAACATATTCTTAGTTACCCAAATATGATGGATTTATTTTTTCACAATGACTAAAACTTTTGACTGTTGTTTTGCATATTTAAATTGTTTAAACATATTAAAATTGTTTTCATTGTTAATTATTTTTTTTTTTTAATGGAAATCTATTTTCCCAACATTTATTTATAACTTTATAGTTTATAGACATATATTTGAAATAACTATTATTAATTTTCTTGTAAGTATAAATTATATTGTCAAGTAAATTTGTTTTTCATTTTGTTGTGTTAAAATAATATATATTTGTTGTGATTTCATTTAGMATAAAAAAATAATATATTTATTCAAAAAATGATTACAAAATTTGTTACTAATGGTCTGTTAAAAATATACAAATTGAACTTAACTTTAATAAATTCTATTATTCTATTAAGTTCTTAAAATTTTTAATGCTATCATAAAACTGTTACGCTTACTGTAAGTCCTAAAAAAAACATAATAATGGGCCAAAATACTGAATGGTAATATGACTATGTATAAGGATGCCTTGTAATCAAATGAATGCAACAATTATAATTTATAAGCTATAACAATTGAACATTGAAATATTGTAATCAACAATATAAACAAATATTTTTATGTTGTTCTTATTGGCCAAAAACAAAATAATATATATTTAATCAGTTAAGTAAATTATTTATTTATTAACCTTTTTTTGATTTAATTTATAAAAACAATCTAAAAATTAAGATCTTTGAAGTGAAAAGTGAACTAACTAGGTAGTATCTATTTTAGATATTCTTTAGTTATACATAAACTCCATATTCTAGCATTATTTTAAGTTTTAAATACTATTTAGGCTTTWAGATGCTAAAGTAAAGTCTTTCTGTTTTTCAATATCCCTTCACACAATTGATTATTCAATTTAATTCCCAATCTCTGCTCTTTGGAGTTATGAATTGGGCTATGTAATTATTTTCCTGAACAGGTACCTATCTTCATCCTGAATCTTATGAGATAATAATATATTTAAAAAAAATATTAATAACTATAAAATTATATACAGTACCTAATACAGTTCAAGATAATTTTTTTGAGAATTTTGATGTATTGAAATCAAAATTCTAATGAGTAGTTTTTGAGTTATTTAACTTGGTGTTTTAAGGATAAAACGTCCATGGTTTATGTTTATAAGATAATATGTGGTTGATGGTGAATTAGAAAATATTAGTCCATTATCAATCTACCAACATCATAAATAATTAGTTAATACGACTTAAGTATTTTACTTACTATAAGAACTTAAGTTCTAAGTATTTTATACTTTTGCAAAATCATTTTTAAGGACTATTATCCTTAGAATAAACATTTTATTAACTAGGAAACTACTCGTTAAAATTTTAATTCTGATAACTATCAAAATTCTCAAAAAAATTATCCACTAAATAATTTACAGTAAAAAAAGACTGTTCTCATTAAAAAAAAAGTTAAAACAAAGAGAGAAAAACAAAAGTTTGTATCGCCACGTGACACGTCTTAAGTGGTACAAAATATCTTAAGAATTTGAAAATATGGTCTTTAAGTATATTTAAAGATTACAAATATCAAATATTGAATAACTTCATTATTAAAGAAAAAAGGGGGGTGAGCATGCTTGGTAAATGACCCTGTATAATTTTTATATCAATTGAAATAAATAAATATATTAAATTTATTTTTAAAAAACTATGTACCTAATTGTTAAATTTGAACTGAATATTATATATGTTTTTACTTTTAAGTAATTTTAATCATAGTTATGATATTAAAACTTATGGCTATCTACTCCTAAACAAAAATCTTAAATAACTTTGAGTAGGACTTGTTGGGATATTCTTATATACCTATTGAATGGATAAGTAGTATTAATCAGGCCCGTTGCCAGAATACAATCACAATCCAACAATTAATCATTGGTTGACAATCAATAATAAATCCGAAAGATGAATATCATGTTACAAAACAATACTATAGTGAATAGTGATGTAAGAGCAATGAGTATTTGAAGTATGTATACTTAGGTAGTTAGGTATCTATTATCTTATCTAATGGTGTATTATAATATTATTATTATTATTATAAACACCATTAGATATATAATATATATATCTGTATAATAATTCATGGTTTTCAATGATAACATTTTGGATTTTTACACAATACAGTGGACTCACTTTGGGACCTGATCATTTGAGTCCATAAACCGAATGAGTCAATAAGGCGAATGACCCAAAAAAAATTATTTACTTTAAAAGTATGTATTGAGATTCGAGGTATGCGTAAAAATAAAAATCTAKYTGTACGCAATTAAAAATAAAATAATATGTAGGTATGTAAAATCTAATGAATTTTTTGATAAAAATCGATCTAGGCGGGTTGACTGGATTTTCCCTTCTTCGGCCGACTTCATAATCATATTTTTGTAGGATTTATTTTGCTCGATTACGTCAAAATCGCCTCTTTGCTGAATCTCTCTAGGTAAAATTTAAAGCTCTTCTATCATTTGTTTAGTTGATGGTGGTTTCTCATCAGGTTCCTCGTCGTCACTATCACCAGCTTCATTCGCTTTTGGCCGTTTTGACTGTRTTTTACCACATAGTATGTACATATTTTCTTTATTTATCTAATTTTCAAATGACCCTATTAACAAGTGTGTGAGTTAAATATACGAATTTTTTACTATTTGTTAGTATATGAGCAAATAATGAGCCGTTTTGGTCTAAAAGGCGAATGAGTCAATTATCTGTGAGTCCTATAAACGGCGACCACTGTAATGTTAACTTATAAAAAATAGGAAGCAAACATCATTAAATCATTACAAAGGTTGGGCTATTTTATTATAATATAAAAAAAATGTTATATCGACGCTATAAAGCTATTTGAAGAATTGAAAACGTTTTGTCAACTTACCAAACCAAATAGTTCCCTGAACAAAAATCTTGAGCTCATTTACAGTAAAAATGTACCTCAATATAACGATTAGGTACTCTGAGAATCGTTCTAACGATAGCGTCAGCTGAGAAGAGTTTTTCTAAGTTGAAACTTATAAAAAAAAACCACCTTAAATCAACCATGAGTAATGACAAGGTTAACTGGGTTAACATTGTTATCCATTAGGTTTGTCTGACTTGGTTCAAGAATGGGATGATGTAGAAGACATTGTTCAAGGCTTTGCTTCAAAAATAGCAAGGAAAGTTAATTTTTAGTTTAGTATACCTCTGTGAATTGTAAACATTATAATTTAAGCTTAAGTATTTATAATATTTACTATTTTTATTAATATTATAATTAGGTCCTAATAACAATATAAAATTATTATAGATTTATAGATAAAATAAGTTTATTACTTTATTAGTTTGTGGAAATAATAATATTTTAAAAACTTTTTGAAATTTATTAAATACAGCAATAATTTGAAATTAAATTTATAAAACATTGTTCACTATATTAATAATATATTAAAATATTGTACACCTACTATAATATATTTTGGATGGCAGGCCGGAAGGGACGGAATTACGTTTGCCGAAGGGTGGGTCTGGTCTGGTAGATATTAATGATTCATTGGTGTACTACATGTTGAGAAAATCGGAAAGGATATTGTTAATCTAGGCCTCTCCTGATAACCCAAACATGGCATTTAGTCAAAAGGTTTTTCAGTTTTATATATCTATTTACTATTTAGGAACTATAGGAAGTTAAATAACGAAATCTTTTAGAAATGTGTAAACGGTAAGACGATTATATTTCCTTTATACAAAATATACACTTTATAATGGACTGTTTAGCACATTGTCCACATGGCAACAAAAATGAGTATTGATTATTACTGTTTTCTTTAGACCACAATGGAATGTCTATCACTTCGCTTTTTATGTGAATAAGTATCCCTTGTATCGACCGTCGAATTCATAGCAGAATAATCGATAGGGAAGAATTCAGGGGTAGGTCCACATTTTCCAAATAACCATTGACCACATCCATTAGGTTTGGTACCCAGTAACCAGTTCGCAAAACATTGGCCCCAAGTATCGCGATCCAACTTAAAGTCTCCATTCTACAGACAAAAATAACAATTATTAGGTATAAATTAAAAACTATTCGAACAGTTACCCAATGGCTAATAAAATAATAATGAATGTATAAGTGTATATATTATATATTAGTAAAGTTAAATAACAAATATTTCTGTTTCCCTTAGGACTTCCTTACTTCCTTTTAATACAGGTATCTACCTATATGCAAATCGTAAAATATAGGTGAAAAATAATAAATTATGGCGATTAAAAAGTTTAAATAGGTGGATTAGCGTGCACCCACATTTTATCATGTACCTATATATTTCCACTAAATTCAATTTCACWAAAATGCGATAATTTTGCAAAACATCGTAGATATTAGTTTAGTATCAGATATTTGTACTTATTATACTTTATAGTTAATATTTTTACATTTCCTAGAATAATATTCTTCAGATTAGGAAATGAGAAATGGCCAATGGGGTTGCTGCATACGAAAAATAAAACTAAATAATACTCAAGCGAAAAATTAGAAACGTAAACAAGTAAACACAAACCTTACAAGTTTTGATTCCATATAACTTGTAAAACAAAACAAAATTTAATTATACCATCGCTATACGCTTTTGTATAGGTAATAACTACCTAGTACCTACTGTATCACAAGTATAATAGTATAAATAAATAAAAAAAACAATATAAAACGGTTCAGCAAGATTTTTGAACTTTTACTTATTTTTTATATAAAATTTAATTATATCGGTAATAAGTTATGTAATAATTTCAAAATTTTCTTTTTTTAAATCTTCATAAAACWTTTTTACTTTAAGTATTTATGTTTAATGTTTTYTGGTTAAAAAAAGTTATAGCTCAAATTTGTCCAATGTTTAAATTCCAAAGAATTTCGTAAAAAAATACAAAGTTACTGAACTTCAAGTTCCCGGGAGCATGGCTTGTAATTGAATGTTTGAGTTGAAACTTTGTAATTCATATTTTATTAAGTATTAACGAAAAATGGGTGGGTGGGTGCCGCAAACTGTACAATAAAAAAAAAAAATTAAAAGAACATACGCTTAGGACCACCATGTAATAAACAACTT